AGCCCAACCTCTCTCCCTTTTTCCTGTCCTGCTTCCTTTCCTTCTAGAGGTGTTGATCCCAAGAGCACTGCCTAATATGCCAATCTTCATCTCAGAGAATGTTTCCCAGGAAATCCAACTGCTGACACCGAGTGGGGTTTAACCTATACTGGGCGTGTGCATGACAGGCAGGCACTTAGCACTAACATCTGGTCCAAGTTTAAAGGCCCAAGTGGCTGGTGCCCAGAGGCAGGGGATGCTCCTTTGGCTCCAGTACTCGGCCACCTCCCAGCAACTCCTTCCCAAAGCTGCTGGGACTGGGATGAAGGAGAGATTTAGGACCTTGGGAAAGCTCTTGGGGAGGAGGGCTTTTCTGAGCTGACCATTCCTCCTGGCTCCGGGAAATGGTCTCTGTGGGAAAGAGTCAGAAAAGCAGTTCTCACTCCCCTTTGTGATTTATGCTGGAAAGCTCTGGGTGGGCCAGGCTGGCCCATCCTCCCTGAGCAAGAGGGGCCCACAAAACTTCATGGTCCCCAAGACCTGAGCTTTGGCCTCACTTCCCTCACAGCCTACTCCTATTACATCTCAGTCTGCAGTTCCGCTTTCTGGCTGGGAAGCCACAGAAACTCAGCTTTTATCTTCTGAGTTGTTTCAGAAGCTTCTCTGAACTACCCCTCCCCTCCAGCCAACAACATCAAGGTCCAGAGATACCTGTGCCTTGCAAAACTCTGCCTGCCTGCCCTATTCAGAAGCTGGGGAAGCGATGGCTCAGCAGCAGGGCTCTGGGTTACTTGTGGATGTACTTGTGGATGACCGTGGGTACCGCTTAACACCAGCTTGCTCATCTGAGAAAAGTCACGCCCCTACCCTACCGCTTCTCCAAGACCCACCTTGGGGGTTTCAGAAGCACTCCTTACTCCACTCTGGTCACAGTGTGAAAATCAAATGAAATACTGAAGGGGAGTCTCCATTAGCACCAGAGTACCATGAAAGGGTTAATGAGCAGAGATTCCCTACTTAGGGAAGGAGTTCTTCATCTCCTCTTTTAAAGGTAACTGGAGAAAACACACCAATAAACAAGAAAAACTGTGGCTTAGAACATTCTGAGCCTTTGAAAGGGCAGCCCTGGAGTGAGAGAGAAGGACCGTCCTGAAAAAGGCCGGTGACAGGGCAGGGTAGAGACTAGGGGAAACCTGATCAGTCCTATTTGCCTTGTACACATGCCAAACTATGCACCCAATATTCAGAGCTCCTGGTTTTTCTAGAGAAGTCAGAAATCCAGGGTTAAAAAAAAATTTTTTTTTCAAATGAAGTCTCTTAATTTTAAAATGTTGTCCACGAATTCAAATTTTTCAAAAGTCACTTTATTTATTCAACAAACTTTTATTCATTATCTTTTGTATATCAGTCGCTATGCTAAATAGGTTCTGTTGATCCAAAGATGAATAAAAGAAAGTACTTCCCCTCTAAGACAATTTAAGAAAACACCCCCCACAAACACCCAGGGAATTTAACAGAAAATACTTCTACCAATTATATGACTCTCAATGTTTTTAAAAATTGTATTTGCAAATAAGATGATCAAATTTTAAATGGGACAACTGCTCTCACTTGAGCTATAGCATATAAAATTAATAACATTAAAAAGTAATATTAAAATTAAAGTGAGTTTTTTTTCAAAGAATTCCTTTTCAACTGCTAAAATTTGTTTCATTTTTTAAAAATTGACTTTATTGCTAATAAGACCAGCCAATGTGCCAGAAGGAATCTAAATAGGATGCCAATACATACTGTTCACAACACAGATTCAGAATTAAAAACTCTTGGCCTTTTTTGGGTCCAGGTCTCCTTAGACAGTTTTCCCTCCAGCTTTGCTTTGACCCCAGCCACTGTGAGAAGAGGATATAAAACACTGTGGGTTCCAGAATGTTCTGTGCCTGGAAGATCTCCATTCAGAAGTTTTGGCCAAATGTCCCATTAATTCCCCTTTGACTAAGGCACTTTGGGGTCAGATGAACTTGGGGTCTATGAAGATTACAGAAAAGGGACTGGGTCCACAGTTCACACCAAGGCTACATGTTTCTGAAATTTGGGGTGAGGCCAGACTCTGCTGTAGGGATCTAGGAGGGAGTTAGCTCGGGGCAGCCTTTCCCTAATGAAAGAATTTGTTTTTCAAAAGTCACTTTAAATCAAACATCTCTAGGGACCAAATCGACTGGCTGCCCTTTTGTGGTCTGTGGTTCCCTGGTAAGGGGACCCCCTCCTCGGCCAGCCTTAGGCGTCTGCAGTCTCTTCCCTGCACTGCTGTGTGTGCTACAGCCGCCTCGTCCACCTCCAGCAATGACAGAGTCCATTCAAGTGCCCTTCAGTGTTGTACAGACTTTATCATAGTTAATCCTCAATTTCCTGTTGTGAGATCAGAGAGGTTATCCGCACACACAGCAGGTAAATGGAAGATTCAAGACCAGAACTCAGGTCTGCCTGGTTGCAAAGCCAGAGCTGACTCTTCTACATAGTTTCTGAGACTGACCTCTGGCCTCCTCCAAAGTGAAACAGGAGTATAGGGTGGAGGGGGAGAGGTGGCCCCAGGCATTCACCCGTCCACTCTGGGGTACTGCAGGGTGAGTGGCCAACAAGTCACCCTGTTTGTTCCTCATCCTCGGGCTCCTGTCTTCGGCAGCACAGACAGTCTACTGTAATTGTTTCCAGGTCAGTCTCTCTAACTAGCCTGCAAGCTCCTTGAGGTTGGGCCTGCGTACCTTCTTTATCCCTGAGCCCCCAGGGAACTCTTACAGAACAGATGTTACTAAATGGCTGTTGAATGCAACTGAATTAGATGCACTGGCCCAGATATCTACTCATGAAACTTATGCTTTTCCTGGAGGCTCTGGATACTTCTCCTTGTTTGAGGCCTGCCGAGTTCCACCTCTCCCAGGGTGACCCCAAAGCCCTCATTTCTCTTTCTCTAAAATCACAACAGGTGCATCTCCATCTCTCTGGAGACACTTAGAACTTAGAAGGTTCTCAGAATATGTTGGTTGAAGTCCATGGATACTTAGCAGCCAGGGTTCTATTCTGAATTCATATCTTGATTTCCCAGTCAGAGTGAAGCAATGTGGGGTCGGGGTCTGTGTTCTTTTCATTCTACACTCCTCAAAGCAGAGTCCTGGGCGCAGTTTTGTAAAGTTACGCCCCGACAAGAGGAGTGATGGGGACCTGAAATCCAGCCCATGAGCCCCTCACCAAGGCCCTGTGCCAGCCTGGAGGAAGCAGTGCTTTTCTCTTACTGGTTAAAAGGGGGTGTCTTTTCATCTTATTTTTTAATTCCTCATAGCTTGCACAGAGGCACCATAGATGTTAGTGCAGACCCCATCTCCCTGCTCCTGGCACAGGGCCTGATACCTGGAAGATGTTCATTGTGTCCACCTACTGAGTTCATTCAACGCAGCAAGCATCTACTGAGTGCCTACTGTGGACAAGTTTCACCACGGCTGAACCGTCCAGGAAGGGGGAAAGATTAGTCTGTAGGACCTCAGAGCATGGGAAGGCTGGAGTTAACTTCCCATCGAGTGAGCTGGTTTCCCTTAATGTGCTCAAGATTTTATTATAGATTCATCCTAGACACACCTTGGAAACTTGCTTCTTCTGGGACTGGGACCAAAAGTTGCAGGGCCAAGGCTTGCATGTAACCAGAGTCTAAGCAGATAGGCAGGAAAGAAGAGCACAGGGCACATCACACCCAGACAGAGATGTACGAATTGAGCTCTTCACTGAGGCCAGGACTGGAGTCCAAGGGCCTCAGCTGTGGCTCAGGCCTGGCTGCTGAGAGCCAAGGTCTTGCCCTACTGGCTCTGGTTCTGAATGTCGCCACACCTCCGAGAGGGACAGAAGTGGGTGGGACACAAGGAGAGGTTGGTAGAGAGAAGCTGTACTCATGCCTGGTGGATAGAGGTGGCCCAGGGAACTGGCAGGGACGGAGGGAGGGAGGGCCTGAGAGCAAACAACTCTCAGCCTTCCAGCATTGCCCCGAGAGGTACATATACTGGGCTTGGTCAGGTCCAAACACTCCCCTGCTCGAGTGCCAGAAACGCCCTCACCAAGCAGCCAGAAGATGTTCTGTAATTTTGCTTCACCCGTTTGTTTGCAGAAGTGACAATGATCTTAGAATCCAGAGTCCCTGAAACTCTTCCATAGAAGTCCCCATGACAGGAGGAGATCTGGGGACACAGCCAGAGGCTAACACGTTTCTACAAAGCTTCACCAATTTTGCATTCTATATTATATCCTGTTTGTTACATATAAAAAAGTTTCCTTAAATGTTTCAAGTAAAATTGATGCTCCAGGAAACAGTGCCAGGTTCATTTTTGCCACTCTGCATATGTCCCCCCCCGCCCAACACATACACTGCAGTGTACGGCCAGGTGTGAAGACATCGCTCATCATAAACCTTTTCTCTTGGTGCAGAATGTCCCTGCCCTCTATCTTAGTCCCTCCAACGCCAGACCGTCCAAACTCTACCCCTCAACTCAAGGCCTTGCTCCAATGTCACCTCTTCCACTAAGTCTTCCCAGATCCCCTTCAGGCTAAAAGTGATCTCAGCCTCCTTGAACACCCCCAGCTCTTCAGTGTGCCTTGTTTATCTCTGATCAGCTTCCACCTGTTAATCTTTTGTGTCTCTGTCTTATTTTCCTCATGAAAAGTCAGCCACTTGAGAAGAGGGTCTATGTTGGATTTTTCCCTGAATCCACCATGGAAACTGGCAGTGTGTATATTCATCAGGTACTCAATACATGCACTACTACTACTAGACATTTTCACACGGATGCCTGGTTAATGCAAGCCTTTACTCCGTGGTGCATCTGTGCTCGGCTGTAACTGGTCTATGGTCTGGGCCTGGGGAAGGGATGCAGTGTCTTGCCTTCAGTGTTGTAATGGCCCATTTCATAGCTGAGAATGACTCTAATCCAGGCTGAAAGGATTCATCCAACAATAGAGCAATACCAAAGAAAACAGGGCCATACCTTAATATTATCTTCTGGCCAAGAGTTCAGCATTGTTGCAAGATGGCCCTTGTCATGAATGGTGATAAACAGCCCACTGGGAAAAGAAAAACACATACACACAGAGAAACCACTCAGACTAGGAACAGAGCAAAGACTACAAGTACTGTGTATCATTGCATCAGTTAATTTTAACCATAGACCTGGGCAAAAGGGGTCCCTGCCCAAAGCCCCAGCAATGTTAGAGAGCCCTGCTCTGGTTTTCCTCCAAGTCTTCCCCTCCAGAGGGCAAAGAGGTCCATGGGGCCGAGGGATGTACCCACCCGGAGCCTGTGTTCACAGAGCCTGTACCTTCCTTCCTCTCTCTAGATCAGGCACACAGGACCCCAGAATTCTCTGATTGAGTGGTCTCAAGGCTGCTTTTAGGGACTCTGTGAGCCTTTTCTCTGGGTCCCTCCTTCCAAGTACAGACTACACTGCAGTGGGTGGATCCCTGAGCCTGGGGCTATGACTGGTACTTGGACATGTGGGTTGTGATGTCCAGACACTCATACACATGGCCTCTTGCAGTGGGGGATGGAGCTGGGGATAGGAAGGGGGGTTGCTGCCAGCCTTGAGCCAGTTTTAGAGTCTGAGAATTCTAAATTCAAACCTGGCCTTCCAGACAATCATGAAGGTATATTTGTAACGGTAGGAGGATGAGACATATTTTACTCAACAGTTTATTAGCAGTTAACAGTTATTAACAGTTACTGAATTTTGTGACCCATTATTTAATTCATGCCCTCGTCAATAGTAAACACCCATGGCCCTGCTCTTTGGTCTCACCAGGCTTGTAAAACTCTCACCCCTTGAGGAAACCCACTTTCTGCTCCCTGTGCATCTCCACCCAGGCAGCCGAAGGCAGATGGAAACAATCCTACTACAGGGCAGACTGATCGGTGCCACCATCCACTCATCCCTGTCAGCCCACATAGACTCTCAGTACTGACCAGCCTCTGTGCCTACAGAGTTTCTCTGGTCAAAATTCACTCTTTTCACTCTTTGCAAAGACTGTTTCAAAATCCTCTGTTCTCAAACCTCCAACTGCCTCACCCTTCCCCTGGCACTGCCCTAGTGACCTTGTCTCTGATGTCACAGGAAGCATCTCTGTCAGTTTCCCACCAGTGAATCTACAAACTTCTGCATCCACAGCCAACCTCTTCATTCCTCTTGTTCCAGTGAAAATTACAGAGCCTCACACCGTTGATTATCCCTCCTCCCTCTCTCTGTCTCTCTCAATCTCTCACTCTACTAGATTTTCCATTATCTCTAAAATATGCCCAAGTCCATCATCTTAAAAGCTTCTGACTTCTGGTAGTGACAGAGTCACTTGGACAGAATAACATTTCTGCAGATAACAATGATGAGATGGTTAATCGTTATACAATTTATTGTTATTGTTACGTTACAAAATTATTTTAAATTAAGGCAATGGAAGTTGGCCAAAAACAGGCAGACACTGGACGGGAATCTACCTTCGAAAGCAGGAATTAGATCCTTTGAGATCTGCAAATTTGCAGCTTTTTCCTGAGAGCGGTCTAATCTGCAAGCAACTTGGGGCAGCAGAAAGCCAAAGTCTTACTAGCTTGAGGTGTCAGAGAAGTGAGCTGGAGCTGGAAGAGCAGTCAGGAAGTGAAGGGGAAAGTTCTGGAAGGGAAGGAGATGCAGAGAGGATGAACTTCCAAGTCTGTGTGTAAAACCTGCCCAAATCACTGGCTGACCACTCAGGTATGCATACCCAAGGGCCTGGCAAAAAAAAAAAAAGAAAAAAAAAGCTGCAGCTGAACGCTGAAAGAACCCAGCAGAGATTTCCATTGCTGCAGACCCGTAGGGACAGAGTTTGGAATTTGAGTCTGGCCAAGTTAAGTCCTTCCTAGAACAAAACTTACTCTTCTGAGGAACAAAACAATCTAGAGTTCACAGAATGTAGGGTACAGAGAGGTCCATTATAATAGTCTGCTTACTTTATACATGTCAGACATTTTCCATAATAAAAAGTGTAAACAAAACAAGAAAAATACCACCAAAGCCCAAACTACTGTTGACTTTCACGCTCCTTGTCGAGACTGTTCTCTCTCTCTCCTTCCTTCCATAGCCAAATTTCTTGAGAGTATTGTCTACGCTGGCCACCTCCATTTTTACATCTTCCCCTGAAACATGTCTTTTCTTAATATCGTGCTGCCAACACTGCTCTTGCCAAGGCCACTGATGACGTCCACGTCCCTAAACGGCAGCAGCTTTCTGGTCCCCATGTCCTTTGGCTTCTCAGCAGCATCTGACACTTTAAACCACTCCCCACCCAACCTCTGGCTTCTGCGACTCCACTCTCTGTGAGTCTTCTTCTGCCTCTCAGGCCGGTTCTTCTTAGTCCCTTATGCTGGCTCATCCCCCTATCAGGTGTTACAGTTCCTCAAAAACGTGCACTACCCCACTCTCCTCTTTACTCTTATTCTTTCTCTGTATAATCTCATCGGTGCCCAAGGCTTTTGGCCAGTGACTCTCAAATATCTGTAGACCAGAGATTCTCACCCTGGGCACTGTTCACATTTCGGGTTGGATAACCCTTTGCTGCAAGGGGTGGGGATGTCCTGGGTGCTGTAGAACGTTTGGCAGCGTCCTGGTCTCTACCCACTAGATGCCAGTTGCACCCCACGCCCTGTTGTGACAACCAAAAATGTCTCCAGACGTTGGTAAATGTCTCCTGGGGAGCAAATGTGACGCTGGCTTTAGAGCCATGGTTCTAGATCCTTATATTTAACTGCCTGCTTGACATCTCCACTTGCGTGTCTCAAAGGCACCTCAAACTTAACCCGTCCAGAACCAAATTTACGATCTAAACTTGCATCGCTATGACTCAAAGACAAGACAAAACGAAAATCCAAGACAGACCTGATTCTTTTCTCTTGCTCCCTTTCTCAGTGACTATCACCCCCCTACAGCTAGTTTAACAACCTCAGACCCCTGGAAGCATCCTTGACACTGTCCTCTCCCCTTTTATACAACCCCTTGCCAAGTCCTTCCTTTCTACTCTGTAATTAGCTCCTGGTTCATACACTTTATTTCATCCACGACACCACCTACCTGGTCCAGGCTCCCAACAGCTCTTCCTTAAAGCACCAAAATAACTTTGTAACATCCTCTCTTGTCTCTATCTAATCTATTTTCTACACAGTAGAAAGAGTGATGTTCTTGAAATCAAAGCCTTACCGTGTGATTTTTTTTGGCCGTGGCTTGTGGGATCTTAGTTCCCTGACCAGGGATTGAACAGCAGTGAAAGTGCTGAGTCGCAACCACTGGACCACCAGGGAACTCCAAAACCTTACTGTGTTATCCCTTGTGATAAATATCCTTCATGTCTTTCCATGGTTCTTGGAATGAAGACCCAAGTCCTTAGCATGGTCTACCGGCAAAGCCCAGTGTGGCCTGGCATTTGTCAACCTCTTCATCCTTATTTCATTCTCCAGTCATCGGCTGCACTGGCCTTCTTCTTTCCATTCCTCCACGTGCCATGATTTTCTTACTCTAGGGCAAGTTCACATACTGTTCCCTCTGCCTGGTACCCCCTGCCTCTCTTCACTCTATGTTTAGTTAATTTCTACTTATTCTTCTGATGACTTCCAAGTCAAAGCTGGGGCTCCTTGGTATATATTCTCAAAGTACCCCATACCTACATACACAAACCTGTTGCAGTTATTTGTGTGGCTATTTGGTTAATATCTTTCCCCCGTTAGTCTGTAAGCTTCATCAGGGCAAGGTGAACATTTATTCTGTTGTTGTTGACCACTGTATGCCCAGACATAGTCCATAATGGATGCTCATACATAATTTCTGAATAAGTGGAGAAGTGAGTAAGTGAACTGTGAGGATGGTTGAAGGTTGAGGGATGAAGATGAAAGGTGCTGAATAAAGTTGGAGCGAAGGAAACTTTCATGTGTGTTATGCTGTATCATGCTCAAGGGATCAGTGTGCTGAGCTGGGTGGTGCTGGGCTGTGCCTGTGGCTTAGAGTGGGGAAATGCATGTAGGGAGGCAGTGGACAGGCCAGTGGGGAGGAAAACCCCAGAGCCTAAGACTTGGGAGTTGCAGGGCTCTTTCCAGCATGTTGATTGGGGGCGATGTGGGTCTTTGAATTCACTTATTCATTAGGTTTGAGAAAAAGTTCCAGGGGTTTGTCGTGCCATTCTGAAATGATCATGGGGCACTCAGTTGTATCAATCAAGACAAAACCAAGTATCGGATTGGCTTTTTGGAACTTGTCGCTAAGGATCATCTCCAGGCAGTTTGAGTTTGGAAAAATCACACTGTGTTGATAATAATGAACTCCAAGGACTGAAGTTCAGGATGCTTCAAGCCATCCTGAAGTTTAAATGGTGGTATCTGTCTTGGTGTCGGTAGAAGGGTAAGTGGGCCAAGGTGAGCCTATACATCTGGACACTTTCAAGGAACCAGCCCCTGTACCTCCAAACCAGCTGCTGCTCTGAGGTGTGGCCTGAGGAGGTCTTGTTAGGGCTGTGACTCTTCACCAGCTTCTATTTTTCCACAGCTGCAGCTCTCATATTCATAAGCAGCTTCCCCTCAGGTCATCCAGAGCTAGTCACATGGAACAACAATGCTAACAAAGAGGCCAGTTCTTTCCAGATGGAAAAACCAGGTCTCAGCCCAAGGCTCACTGATGACTCATCTTGTGACCTTGGGGAAGTCCTTTACCCACATTAATTAATCCCAATGACGCACTCCTGGCCTTTAGCAGCTCTTGACCCTGACCTGTTTTGGAAATGTACCTCAGCCAAACAACTCCTGTTCTCAACTTTGCTTTACCAGATAGAGGCTTAGTAATGATATTCAGCGAAAAGCTCACATGTTAAGGGGTAAGACACAGGCATCATTTTAGACCTTAGCAAGGCTCTGATGCAGTTAATTCTAAACACAGGAAAAGTGTGATTGTGGAAATAATCTGGTACATTAAAATAGGCTCTCTTTGTTGAAGATAAGAAGAGGGCAGAGGGACACTTCAAAGGAATATTTTTACAGTTAAATTTGAGCTATTAAAATTTCA